TCCCCAAGCACGTTCCTGTCTGCAGGGGAAACGCGGTGGTTTCGGAGTGGCCTGGCATGTGTGCTGTCATTCGGCCTTCGTTTTAATTCTAGGGCGTGTGTGTAGGTCAAGCTGTGGGAACCTGGGGTGCGCACACACAGTCGGTCAGGCTCCCCACGCTTCTCTCCTGCGTGGGGGTCTGAGCCTCGCTTCTGCTGAGAGGCACCGCTGGCTGGCGCGGGCCCTGCACTGTGCCCGCCTCAGCGCCTGTCTTCTCTGAGCTCCCCCAGGACCTCAGCAGGGCCCGGGTTTGCTCAGGGTTCCGCGAGGGTCCCCTTGGCTGCAGCACGGGTGCCTTCGGATTCCCGGGGCAGGGACTTTGCAGGGTTGGGGGGCAAAGCCGCAGTGTTCCAGGGCCTCACCACAGACATGAGTGGACACGTCACACGCAGAGCTGCCCACGCTCGCATGCTGGACAGAAAGTGCCCGGAAGGGCAGCTGTGAGGGAACCCAGCCGCTCCTCTGGGCGTCCTGGGACGTTGGAGACAGCGTGCCAGCACCCACTTTCTCTGGACCGTCCGCCATCAGGGTGAAGGCCCACGCGTTTATCCTGATTTGGCTGAGAAGTTTCTAGGCTCTGGTGGGCTGTCTGGGCCTGTTGAGCCCCTGCTGTCCCGCCCTGACTGAGCAAGAGCCTGTGTGGGTGCGTTTAGCTGCCGGGGCGTTGGGCCCCATCACCTTTGTCCAAAGGAGAGAACTGAGGTCACAGAAAGTCACAACAATGTCCCTCGCCTGTGGGGGGTGGTAACAGCGCCTCCCGCACCAGATGTCGGTTTGGGTAAAACAACAGCGCATGTGAGCTTCTGGCTCAGCTCTCTGCAAGCCGGTGCTGGTGTGACTGACACAGGCGTGTGCTTCGCCTCCTCTGCGGCAACCCCACCCCCACCCCCCCAGCCCTCATGCAGGCCTGACGGCACCGGTGCCCAGAGCTCGGCACGCGGTAACTGATGGGGGGGGGAGGACAAGGGGGTGAGGGCCCCCACTGAAGGGGCCACTCGTTCAGCTCCAGTCCCTTCAAGGTCATTGGGAAGCTTTGCCCCAGAAGCATCAGGTTTTTCTAATTTATCAAGAAACTCAGAAATCTGGATGTTCACGTCATGTCTTGTTTTTGTCAAATCAGAATTGTAGGTCCCGTGCAGCTTTGCCCTCCCACTGGCGTCTCCCCTAACGTGACACTTGCCCGTAATTGGTGGCTGAGGGTCTCTCTGGGCCCTGGAGGTGAGGCAGCTCGCCCCCCCCCATCCATGCATTGCGGTGTCTACTCCATGTCAGCTCAGGGCGAGGTGGCCATGTGACCACGCAGGGGGCACCACTGGGCACCGCTTCTCCCAGAGGGACAGGCATTCTGTCCTTGGGAGTCCCAGTGGCGCCGAGGGCGTTGCGATCTCAGGGCGTTCGTCTTCAGCTCTGTGTGGAACAACCGTCTCTGTTTTGTCCTCAGGGTCCCCGGGACCACCCAGTGCCCACAGCAGCCGGGTCTCGTCACCCCTCTTTGACAGCGGTCTGCACCTGAACGGGAACTCCAGCCACACAGTAAGCTGGCTTCTGCTTGTATTTCACTTAGGGGACAGCAGCTCGCCACAGACTCTCTGGGCAGGGTTAGAAAGCACCCACTGCCCAACAGAGATCCAGTGGCCGTTTCGGAGGAAGCCCTCACACGGGGGGTTGTGAGGCAGCCGGGCGCCTGTCTGCTGTGGGCTGCGTCCACCCCCAGTGCGCGCGGCTCAGCGAGCAGGCAGGGCGCGTCCTCCCGAGGAGCTCGGAGTCCTGCCCCTGACTCCAGGACGCTGACCACACACATCGCTGGCAGGAGTTTTCAGGTCGCTCCCGTCAGACCCTCAGGAAAGGGGCGCTGCCAGGGGTGGCGTCTGAGTTCGTAGCAAGCACCTAGGCAGGTGATGCCTTCTGCCTGTAACGCGTTTTCATCGTGTCCAAGTCTCCACCCTCCCAGGAAACCCGACTTCAGCCACAGGAGGGAGAGGCTGCGATCAGGGGGGCTGCAGACCCGGGGCCTCGTCCCTCAGGAGCCCCCGCCTGCCGGCCTGTGGCTGCTGCGCACCCCTCCTCCCGGGAGCGGGGTGGGGACAAGGAGCTTCCCATTAGCTGTGTGGAAGAACGCGCACTAGCAATCGGCCCACCTGCACCATCAAAACGGTCAGCTGTGCGACGTGCAGGTGGAACCCAGAGAAAATTGTCACGTTTGTACAAGACCGCTTTAAAGTAGCATCCTTTTTCATTTTTAACCTTTTAATAGAGTTCTTCATACTTAAAAACTGCAGTTAGTATCCCTGTGAGTTAGGAAGCAAAATAATAAGGCAACTGAGAAGGACCTCACAACTCAAATCATTCATGTGAATACAGTCATACCTTGGTTTGCGAGCATAATTGGTTCCGGAAACAAACTACTCGTATTGCAAGACATCGCTCGTTTACCACGTTAAATGTATTAATGTTTGCTCATCTTGTGGAATGCTCGCAAACCACGTTACTCACAACAGTCCAAGGTGTTACTGCGTTGTCCCTAGCTTACACACCTATTCACGTGTGACGTGTAGCCCATTTTCCGGCGTTCCCAGAAATAAACAGTGTCCTGAATCCTGTATTTGTCATCCCCTTGATAAAGAAAATAGCTGTCTATATCCCTAAAATACACCATTTCCTTTATTGTGAGCTTTATAAAATATTCTGTCATAGACTTCTGGATATTATGTTTTTCTGTGCTACTTACTACATTTTTAAGATCCACAAGTGCTGTTGTGTGTGGGCCTGACACATCCTTTGTGCTATATGGTATTTGTATGACTGCAGTTTATTGACTGTTAGTTTCCCGTGGACGTTTGATGTTTGTTCCCTGGGCCGGGTTTTGTCTTTTCCATTTGGTTGACATTGAAATTGGGGCTGCCATGAGCATACTTATACGTGTGTCGGCTGTAGACACAGATGTGGGCCGTCTGGGTGGTGGGTGATGCCAGCCTTTGATCGTCATGGTACACGGCACTGGGCACAGCAGCCCTGGGAAGGCCGGCTGGCCCACGGCTGCCCCACCACTGGGTATTTGGGGTGTGAAACGGCTGCCCCCAGCTGTGCGGTCACTGAGGCAGCCTCCTTGCTTTGCCTCCTCGTAATGACCTGGGTTCCTCCTCCTCTGTGAGGTGCTTTCATCCCCTCTTTCACCTTTCCTCACTGCTCCATGGAAATGCTTCACATATACTTGGAGTTAATATTTTATTGGTTATGAGCAGAAAATGTCTTCTCACGGCGTACAGCCTGTGCTTTTGTTTTATTTACAGTGTCTTTTGATAAATAGAATTTCAGTGTAGCCAGATATATCCATTTCTTTCAATCAGAGCTTGTGGTTTTAGGATCTTGTTCAAGAAACCCTTTCTTATTCTAAACTCATAAAGATATCAGCTCATATCTTCTTCTAAATATTTTGAAGGTTTGTTTTTTACTTTATAAAGCATATAAGATGTGTTTTTGTAAAACATGTGGAAAACTGGGATCGAGACTCATTTTAAGGGTAACCAGTCATCCCCATCTCTTTCTCAGTGACCGGCAATGTCACCAGATCACGTGACACGTGGCCTGGGCTGTTGCCGAGACTGTCACTGTGCACTGTGTGTCACTGTCAGCACCAACACCACACACTTAACTACTAGCTGTCCACTGTAAGCCTTCGCCTCTCACCACCTCCGATTTCACTGGGTTTTCATCTTCTCTCTTCCTATATTTTTTCTTGTGATTTCTAAAAACCTTTGATTAGATCCCACAAAGAGACTTTGGGATTTTGATGACAAGTGCGTGAAATTTAGATCTACTGGGGAGATACCTTTCCTATTTGTGAAAACGGTATGTGCTCCTTTATTTGGGTCTCCTTCAGTATTTTTTTTTCTTTTTTGATGAATTTCAACACATTTTACTACTCTTTTCAAAGAACCCACTTTTGGCTCCACAGACCCATGTACCACCACTGTGTTCATTTTTGTTGTCTTTCTCTTCACTTTCTTTGAGATTTTGTGCTTTTTCTTATTTTTTTACAGTCAAGTCTGACAAGCTCTGTACTTTTGTTTGAGTTTATTGTGATTGCTGATATATTTCAGCTTGTTTCTAATCAGTGACTTTAAATTTTTGTTTGTCCCCCTTTTCATGCTCTTTCCCCCTTCTTGACATAATTATTTTGTTAGTATTTTTCATGTGTCTTTTGTTTTAAATTCCCTTCTACTGGTTTAAAATTTACATGCATCATCTCCATTTATTAGAGGTTAATTACCCTTGACATCTTACCGTCTATACCTTGGTCATAAGATATAAAAATACAATATCCTAACCTCCCTCCTCAATAACACACAGACCTTATAACATGAGCATGAACCGTCCCATCCTGACTTGCTGCTGTGTTTGGAAGCCATCCTTTCTTCTTATTATTAAATTTATTGGGGTGACATTGGTTAGTAAAATCATATAGGCTTCAGGTGTACAATCCTGTAAAACGTCATCTGTACATCACATTGTGTGTCACCACCCAGAGTCAGCTCTCCTTCCATCACCATGTATTTGTCCCCCTTTACCCTCTTCTATTAACCCCCACTTCCCGACTCCTCTCCCCCTTTTCCCCCTGGCAACCACTAAACTGTCGCCTGTGTCTATGAGTTCCTGTTTCTCTTGTTCCTCTGTTGTTTTCAGTTTTATATCCCACATATCAGTAAAATCATATGGTTCTCGACTTCTTCTCTCCGACTTATTTTGCTTAGCGTATAATCTCAAGGTCCATCCATGTTGTCACAAATGGCACTATTTCATCTTTTCTATGGCAGAGCAATTTTCCATCGTGTGTATATATCACATCTTCTTTATCCAGTCATCTATCGAAGGACACTTTGGTTGTTTCCATGTCTCGGCCACCATGAATAAAGCTGCAGTGAACATTGAAGTACATTTATCTTTATGGATAAATGTTTTCAGATTTTGGGGGTAATACCCAGGAGAGGGATTGCTGGGTCATATGGTGATTCTAGTCTTAATTTTTTGAGGAAACTCCATACTGTTTTCCATACTGGCTGCACCAGCCTGCATTCCCGCCAGCAGTGTGTGAAGTAAGCCACTCTTTCACCCACATCAGTCAGGATTTCTAGGATTACAGCCTCTGTTTCCCATCACAACGGTTGCATGTCATGCTCCTTATAACATCCGCTTTCTTTCTCCTCAAGGCTTCTCACTAGAAGTCACGGCCTATTAGCAAACTCTACTTCAGCTTGTATTAAAATTGGTTATTTTCTCTAAAACTGGAGACCTAGTTTCCATCTACTGCTGATGCCAAGAAGCTCTCGGTGAAGCAGGCTCTCCGGACGTGTGTTCTGGGCTGCCTGTGGGGTCCTTGCTGCTGGTATGTGTGGCTTCCTGCATGGCGACTGCATACAAACCCCCTCTTTACTTTTCCTGCTTTTGATACCTTGTGTTTCCTGAATCTGAGTCGGTCACAGACAGTTCTCCAGCCTTATCTTGGCAGATACGATCTCACCTGCACTCTCTCTGGTGTCTCCGCTGGAACTCAGGCTGCACACGTGTGTATTCTATCAGTTAGAATCCATCTTTTCCTCATTTTCTTCTCCTTGTCATTGTGCCCTATTCTGGGATTTTTGTTTCGTTTTTTCCAACTTTGTACAGTATCCTGGCTAAGCCATCCACTGAGTGGGTTTGTTTTTTTGTTTTTTTTCCCAAAAAGAAGAGGATATATACAGAGTGCGGGATGTGTACCCAGTCCTAGTTCAGGAAGATGAGTAGCCTGTGTGAGACGGTGCATAACCTAGAAAGTGACCAGACAGCAGTGGTGGAGAGAAGCCACCTGAGTCCCCTCCTCCCACCCCTCCCCGCGCCCAACCTGTCACTTTATTGGCCTCAGGCCATTAACGTATGTTCTCAGGCTTCTTTGGATATAATACTCATGGGTAGAGTGACTAGCATAACACTCTGTGTTACCTTCACCCATATTCATCATCCTTATCAAAAATGAAAGATGGAGAAAGAGAAAGTCAGAATTTAATAATGTGCTGTAATTATTCAAATGGCTATTTCACCTCCAAAATGAAGTGTCATCAAGTTGTTTAAACTTGTCACAGAGAATCTGAATTTTAGAGAGTTAGAAAATGACATTAATGTTATATTTTAAAAAGATACCAAGACTCAAAATCTATAACAATTTTAATGACAGCCTACTCGGTTTGCCAGCTGGTCAGAACTAATTAATCTAATAGCCTGTGTGCCCTACACGCTGACCCACGGGGCTTTCTCTTCTGCACTCAGCCGTGGGCTGCACGCCACGCAGCAAAACGCAAGTGCATGAGTTAACGGTAGCTGTGGATTGGACAAGGTGACAGGAGCTCTGCAGTCTGTGTCATTGAAAGGAGTGACTTGGGAGCTTCCTGAGACTCAAAGGATTAGACTGTTTTCCAAGTCTGCATTTGTAGACGCTCACATCACTTCCATTCTCCCAGGACCAGACCTGACAGAGCAAGAAACAGAGCCATAGTCAGAGC